AAAAAAAAAACATCAGCAGGGTCCTCGACACATGACACAGTCTAGCTTCTTTCAATTTGAATTCAGGCCAACCTAAAGTTTAACTTGAGCTGCACATGGTAATCAATTGCTACTTATTTTTCCCTGTGCATGGCATTCACGCAAGACAAATCTAAATGAAGCAAGACCTGCCAGAGTTTGTAGTTAGTTTCCACCAGTACCAGTCTACCACTAGTCAAGATGGCAATTGGTGGTCCCAAGGTAGGAAGTAATGGTTTTTGGCTGCAGTTTAGTTACATCCATCTGATTCTCATCCAGTTTCTTGTTATTTGCCCTTGTAACTGTGTGTGCTGTGTTTTATGCAGTTGTGAGTAATACTGTGTTTCATTACTTTCAGAGATAGTTGTTTCTTTGTATGGTGGATGTACAGTATAACACGAATAGCTAGTATTCGTCGCGACCGGCCTCAGAGGTTTGAGGGATATCTTACATAATAAAGAAGAGGGGGGGAACCACGGGATCGCAGGAACAGTTCGAATTTTGCGTGATTTCGAGTCTTCCTTGTTCGACATATCCATGTTATAAGTTATACTGTATTTGTGCATCATGCACATAAATTTCGTTTTTGTTCGTGATCTTCAGGATATTGATTTTTGTTTTTGTAAAGTGTTTTACGGCGCTCGCAACTGCATAGGGTCATATGAGCGCGCGGGACACACCTAATATTTTCAGTTGGTAGGAAATTTTGAATTTTGCCCAGGTGGCGGCCGAAGCCCACTCTTATCGATTTTAGACCACCAAGGGATCTTTAACGTGTGCAACTTGCACACGGGCCCTCCGAGATTTTTCCTACCAGAAAATCAGGGGAGTGGCAGAAAGACAGCAGTAAGGAGGCGCCAAGGAGTAACAGTAGAAAGGCTGCAGAAAGAGTCAGGAGCCCAGAGGAGGGGGCAAAGGAGGTGAGGGAGTGGGGGCAGAAAGTGGAAATGAAAGCAGACAACAGAACATTGCTAGAGAGCAGGAAAGGAGACAATTTTAGAGAAAAAATCTTTTTAGTCGCTACCCGGATTCGAACCCGGGACCTTTGAATGAGAGGCCAACACCTTAACCTCTAGGCCACGAGAGCCCCCTAGGATATTGAGTAAAATTCATCTGCCCATGGTTTTTTTTAACAAGTCTACTGAAAATTTTATGGACATGCTAGCGAGACGTACCTCATTCCTAAATGACAGTCAAACCTCGTTATACCACCCGCCCAAGTACCACCAGGTTTTGCCAATTCGAAAACAGGAATGCCTATAACTATAATAAACACAATATTTGTGCCTTCATATTCCATCAGCCAACTGTCCGAGTTGTATGGTCCTTATTAAACTAAACTATTAAACTAATGTAAATCTGTACCGCAAGTAAATTGGCCATAAAAGGTAAGTCTACACTCTACATGGCACTCACTCAGTGACTGCTTGAAAATTCACGCGCGATCAGTCGCGAGGTGTGTATCCATATATGAGAGACAAAAGTGTCTCTCTATGCACGAAACGACGTTACGATGTCTGTCAGACGGCCATTAAAGAAGGGAGTAAGCATTGACAAAACAGAACGAAATGTGGAATCAGTTCACAACAACACCAATGAAGCCTGTTCGAGAACATAACAGTGAACTATGTTGTCAAAGTCCCTGACTTACAGAATCTTAACGCATAATCAAAATTCTGAAAATGAAGCTTAATTACATTTCCATCCATCAAGGAACAGCCCCAGACAATGATTCGGAAAGAAAAACGATGAGCGCAAGGGTTTTTAAAACAAGTGGACATAGAAAATTGTCAACGGTCTGAATTCTCAGCGAAGAGACTCAATTCTACTGGACTTGGAAAAGTTAATTCTGAGATTTGTGTGTGCTAGGAAACAGAAAGACCAGATCATGTGAAGGAGAGGACCTTGTCACAACCACCACGATGCTGCAGTGCTATTGCGTGGCAAGTTTTAGTCAGAAGGCGGAAATGAATTTTGCCTATGACTATGATGGGGGGCCATGAGAAGCACCTTTTGTGAAGCTGACAGTTCTAATGTGGATTCCTTTCTCATGTAGTAAATTATGTAACTGTCTGTCCGCATGGTTCTTTTGTTTCTATCAAAGCACTTTGTTGTAGTCTCCCCCCCCCCCAAATTTCATCGAATGCTCTATGGCAGTCATCGAGTTTGGGACACCCTGTGTATCATAATGGTACTGTTCACGGTACACTGGATCTATAAAAAGATATAACTGACAAAGGGTCAGGGTTCTTAATAAAATTAACTGACATTGGGAAGTAGAATCGTGCGCCTTACTCAAACCCTTAGCAGCTTCCTACAGCGAGGTAGGCAACATCAACAATAACAGTAACATACAGAGCTGCCAACATGCTAGCCCAATTCCAATTCATAAAATAAATGCAATGGTATTTTGAATTGTCTCAAGCAACACCTTTCAATTCAAACCAGTGTCTGGCATATTCACATTTAGGATCACGGACAGGTAAGACATTCGACAGAAAATGTTACCTTACAATAATATACAAAATAATCCCATTAGGAAAATCATAACAATAAATTTCAAAACGGGGTGAAAAGAAAGTCTTTACACTGGATTCCAAACTTTCCAGCCAAAATTATGAACATTAACTATCCTTACAGCACAGAAAATGAGTACACCTATTCTTTCCAGAATAAATTTTCAAACATAGAGAAACTCACACTACGGATGATTTAATATTAGGCACCTCAGTGAATGCACTTGCCGCAGCGCAATTTAGCTGTGGAAAGTCCTATAGAGTTGAGTGACAAGGAATAATGTCTTGTGTGGATTTTTTTTAGACAAACAACCCAAGTACATGTCTTGAAAAAGCTTTGATGGCCTTTTAAACTTGCTTCCATTTCGATGTGGTCACAAAATACTTCAAGTTGAAAATAGGCAATTAAGAAGCCACCGATTACTCCAAGTCTACTCGCCTTGTTTTTTAAAACTACTCTTGATGATTAACTATTCTTTGTTCTATCAGAAAACATAGAGCTGTTGCCATGGCTGTGAGCATTTTTACCAAATTAACAACCAAGTCTGCAAAATACCAGCCATGATGCCATGCATTTCTTGCCTAAATGCTATCCACTCCAGCTGTTTGTTTGAAAAACATGAGCTGGGGAAACATATCGCTACCAGTACTTTACTATGTTGAAGAACTCTTTACTAAAAAAAAACAACCTACAGTAATTTTTTATTCTAGAAAATCAGACAATATGGAAAGTGTACCCACTTGTATTTTGAGTAATAGGCATTGGCCTCTCAATGTCATGCTCATGACGCTATTTAACGCAAAGTATTTCATGCATTTGATTTTTATAACTTATTTATTGATTTTCCATTTAGAAAAACCCAAACAAAATACCTCAGTGGTCAAGATACAGCTATTATTAAGATTTTATGACGATTTGAAGCAAGTTTGGTGGCACAAAATAGTGTGAAAATTTTAATCTGATCATATCAGGGTGAAGATTGGTTCATAAAAAAGGTCACTGTCCCTGAACTTATAAAGATATCACAAAAATGTTTTAGCTCAATGATTAAGAAATCAGGACCTTTCCACATCCCCAGAGAAATTTGAATTTGAAATTTTCACTGAAGCGCCTTGCTTCATTCATACAAGTATGCTGAGACCCACGCCACTGTTGCGAAAATGCAATAATGTGGAGAGCATCTGTACTATACGGTAGTATACACGTTAATAATACCCGTTTACATTTCTGTTCAATTACTTCATACTGGAAAGTTTGCTCTGTAATCACCATAGCAGTAGCCTGCATCCACATCATATGAAAAGAAAGACTCCATCTCCCTACCACCAAAAGTAAATCATGTCTCTCAAACCCAATTAGTAGGTAGTGTAAACACGGCCTCGCGGGCACTCGCGGCCTTCCGACCGCGTGGTATCGGTGAAATTCCGATCGCTGTTTCTTTGCTCTTTCTGCTCTTTCACTATAAAATACCAAATGCTGTACACCTTGTAAAAGTTCAGCTTTTCCTCGTTACAATGGTGTAAGTTGTTTATATGTCCGATTATTAGGAGCTGGAGAATCGCCGGCGAAAGTGAAGCCCCTCGCGGTCGGCTGGTTGAAAAATTGACACGCGTGCATTCAAATGCTTCGCGGAACGAGGGATGATTAAATACCGTCTTTTCATTGGGGGAGAACTGTAGAGCTTTAAACGGGCTTTCCCTTGATATATGTTTAGCCTTTGGCGTCTAAATAAAAAGCTTTTAAAAATGCCGTCAAAATGTTTAAAGATCACTTTTTACACAAAATATGTCAAATACCGGCTTATAAAAACCATCAATGGAAAGATCATTTAATTTTCTATTAGAATAAAGTAATTAACTTGGAATTATTTTTCATCAATCCTTCCGCGAGACTCGGAAAGCATGTGACCCTGCATCCGTGGTACACTACAGTATAGAGCCGACTCGCTCGCCGCGGGGGCTGGTGCGGCGCCGGCTGGATCAACGCTCGGTGTCTTTGTCGAAATAATGACATCATCGTGTTTGAGGCGATAAAATACTGATTTGTAATGATCTCAGTCTTGAAAAAAATTAGCCTCCATATATTTGTTATAGTGATTGTACTCTGTTAATGTGGAGATGTTTACTGCTCTTGGTACTTTTTTATTGTCTGTCAAACATGGGGTTGCAGCCAGTGACTGACTTTAACAAGTTTGATCAAATTTTAAACAACTACAATTTTCTAAAAAATTGACGGAGAGGTTGAAGAATGGTACCAAAATGCTCAGTGGATATAGGCCTTTCAAATGGAACAGACAAATTTGGCATACAGCTAGTTTGAAAATTTAGTTTCTGGTACCTACAATTAGCAGTCAATGCAACATTTCAAGCAGTTGGCAGCTCCAGAACAAAAATAAAACGGTGCAAACATACAAACAGAAATAAACCTACTTCCAAAACAATATTCCATAGTCTGACAGTCTGTATCTTTTGTAATCCAATCAAACTTTTATTACATGACCTAATGAAAGACCAGCCTCCTCTGGGGCATTTTAAAAACATTTTTAAGCAAATGACAATGAACATGCAAAGGAAAAAGCAACACTGTAAAAAGTAATTACAGATTTGGGAAATAACGAGATCAACAAACTTTTTTTGTCGCCAGGACAAGCTTATGAGCTGAAGACCATGTATTCACAATCCTTAAGTATTTTACTTTATTGAACTCTGATAATGAGTGAACTGCAAAATATATCTAGACTGATTTCAGTGACATAGTACAGTTTCATGTAGATGTCTTGAAGGAACTTTTCAAATTCTAAAAATGTGATTCCCTATCTTTCTACTTTCTCACACTGCGATTTGACAAGTGCTGGACAGAAACCTCCCAGTATGAATGACTTTCTTTGTTTAAGTCAGGCCCTAGGCTCGGGCCAGCTTTCTATGAGATGGAGCAGTGGAGGGGTGAAGTAAATGTAGACACAACAGAGCTTATAGAACTCGGGCATAGTATTGGCAACGGGGACACAGAAATGCAAGTAGCAAATCCAGACAGGAAATCCCTGTGAGTCAGAGCCAAATTCATTTTTAAACTAGTTTAGATCTGGACCTAGATCAACCAGCACTATGGGTTTAAGATTATGTCACTAAGCAGGCCTGAAATCCAGGTCTGCCAAATTGTATCCAGGTCTACCCAATTGTATCCAGTTACTTCCAAGTGGTTGGCTAAGAAAACCAGTAACAAAAATCTAAGTCGATCCCCAGCACTAGTGTTGGACAAAAATTTCGTAAGTTTAACCTGTCTGTCCCCGTGATGTTATGCACCCCGCATAATTTAGCAAAATTTTATCATTTTTTGCATAATATCTGATTATTTTCCTTTATCATTCTTTGTTAAAATTAACAGAATCGCATAATTTCCCATTTTTGGGCTCAGTTTGCATAATTTTATAATTTTTCTTGTATAAAACGAAGGGGACAGACCAGTACAAGATGTGCTTTAGTTTTAATTTAAACAAGTAGTAGTAAGTGAAAAAAAAAAAACTACCTGCCCTACAGATGAATAATTTTCTCAGTTTTAAAAATTAAGTAAATGTAGCTTGTAACACCTATGGGACCACAGATGAGTATACTCGCAAGCAAAATGACCTAAATATCTAAACAAAGGCCTGTCGATATTTCCCTAAACATCATCTTGTTTTCATTAACCCAGCAATTAGTTCTATTTTGATATTTCCCTTCCGATTTCTAATGATTAAATATGTAGTGATAAAATGAGAGGTATTTCACTTAACTTTAGGTAATAGACTTCATTTGCAAGGACATCGAGGCAATTTACTCTTTCTCTCTCTATATAAGAAGATTTAGATCTAATCTTTTATCCCTGCTAGGAACTAGCTCTGGACAAAGGCTTATTATTACCTAATTGATTATACCTAAATGACTCAAACCACAATATTTTTTTAATGTGCAGTCGAACCTGTGTAAGATGGAATTGCAAGGGAACCTGGGAAAAAATCCAGTCAAGACATGAACACTATAACGAACACTCGGATTCGACGAAATTGCAGGCCAGGCCTGACGAATTCGTTGAATCCGAGTTCAACTTTATCAAAATGCATCACAAATGAAGTGATATAGTTGAGAAGCTCTAAAAGTTGATTAAACGAGAAAAGAGAGGAAAAAGCAAGACACAAACAAGGAGCCTCGAAATGTGGACTCCTCACTTTGTTTAGAGGTTTATCTCTCTATATACACAACAAACGTCTTTCCCAAGGCAGATCAGTCCCCCACCAGGACACCAGGCTCAAAGAGAAAATAATCATGAAACTTTTCTTCTGTAAACCCGGACCCCACCTATTTTCCCTTCTATGAGCTTTGTGCTATACCTACTGGCTGATAATTACCCCAAATCCACCATGGAAAGTCGGAAAAAAAAGGGGGGGGGGGGGGGGGGGGGGGCGGCGGCGGCAGATGAAGGGGAGTGATCAACCAAAAGCTAACAAGCGCAATATGATATATATAAAAACAATACAGTCAACATGGATGAGTTAATGTCGTCGGAGGAGTGAAAAAAAAAGATAAGCTCATCCGAAGTTCAACTTAATCTTTGGGACCTGCATAAAAAAAATGTGCTGGGACGCGAGGAGTCGACTGTACATTGTTCACTCCAAATTTAAAATAGCTTTTCAGAGACTACAAGATGCTTCTGTTTTCAGGATGAAAGCTGTGTCTTTCATATTTTTTTTCTTAAAAAGTGCAACCTGGGCATTGGAAATTGGGAACTCCTGGTCATTTTTACTCACAAACATAAAAGACTTACCACTTGAGGGATAAAACAGCAATCATAGTAATGAATAAATATACTGACACAGGCAATAGTACCTCTCAGGAAGTTGGCATACCTTTTTTGTTTGTGTACGTAATGAAATTCATTACAAAGTAAAATATTCTGTTATGGACCAACAGACAGAGAAGAAATACCAACTATGATGATGTGCTGTACGCCTCTGTAATTAACTCACTGCAACAAAATATTACATTAAAAAAAAAAAAAAACCTTTCATGGCACTTCTAGCTGGGAACTATACAAGAACCTGCCTAACCAAACTACTTTCAAAAGCAGGACATAGCTTTCAAACTCATGCTGCCCTTCTCTACACTGTGTCAATTCCTATACAAAACTGTATCTGGCAAGGTTTGTCTGAAACAAGTAGTTTGGGAATGAGCGCTGGAGTAAAGGAAAGAATGATTGAACATGTTCATATACACATACTGACACTTTAATATTGTTTTTTTTTTTTTTTTTTTTAAGCCAACTGTAACAACAACAAAGCTGTACAACAAGTGTATGTGTATAACCAACACCCCCCCTCCCAAATCTTTTTTAAAATGGGCGTGTGTGTGTATTTTTACACTTGCAAGGAAACATAATAACAGACATTTTGTGTAATAGAAACCACTGATTTAAGAATTTCAAAATCTCAGGGCTATCCATTAGTGTTAGGTGTTTAACCCTAACTCTGGCAAGGGCCGATTAGATCGGCCCATTTCCTGCCATGAAACTGGCAGGGCCGATCTCATAGGACCATATAGTAAACTGCTGCTTCTGCCTTCCAACTAAATATTTGGGGCTTCCTAAGGTGATTTCTGATTGGCTAAAATACTAATCTCCAACCAATCAGAATATTTCTACCATTCTGGCTTAGGAGAAGAGTATTTTGCTTTCAAAACAGAGGGATGTTTTGAAAGCTTGTTGAATCACAAGCCACTAATGGCCAAAAATCGATCTTTTTTAGATACATTTGAAAGTGAATTGACTAGGGAAAGTAATTCAGACACTGTTAGTGGTGGATATATTGGTGTTCAGTCAAGATTGGGATTAGATCTGACAGACAATGGGGATACATGTACCAGTTCTCATCCTGCCCCAACTTCTCTTTCAAATGGAACACTAGATCTAGATTCTACTACTTTGGGAGTCTAATAGGGGCAGAAAAAGGAGAGCTATAGAGTAAAGTAGGTTCCTTTTGCTATACTAATTATTACAGACTACCAGCAGATTGCTGAAAACCACATGGTTGTACTTAGAGTGTTTTTATGTTGAGTATGGTATAAAATTAGCGAGTATTAGCTGCGCTCGAAACAGACCACATGACAAATTGAAACAGTCATAACTCATTACCTGTTCTTCTCAAACCTATAAAACTATACATTTTCTGAAAGGTAATTGAAAAACCCATATTTCTGCTATCTCACATTTTTTATAACAGGAAATGCATTAGATTGGTGAATATGTTAATGAGCATGTAAATTTTTTATGTCAGCCATTTTGGACTCCAAAGTTACATAACCCCTTGAAAATTAAATCAAATCATATGTTCAATGGCAAAATATAAAAGTTCATTCAATTATCTTTCAGAAAATATATACTTTTGTAGGGTTTTTTATTTGATATAAGTCCATAAATTTGATTTGTAAAGCATGTGCACGTTTTGGCTGATTAGCCCAGCCATTCCTGTTGAAACCACTTGCCAGAGTTAGGGTTAAATTAAATTATCAATTTTAACATATGACTCAAGGATGCCCCTGAAAATCCACACCATGTCAGGAGGATTTTATAAGTAAAGCACCTCTACAATCACAGCTTTATTTAAAAACAACATCCTGGGTGTCTTCACTAGAAAAGAAATCAATACAATTGTCAAACCTCATTTTCATATGCTTCTGTGTTTCATCAAATGTTTGAGAGAAAACATTTAAATTGATGAAACTTGAGGGAACTATATGCAGTCTTAGTGCTGGGCTGACACAAAGAGCACGAGTTCTCTAGGTTGCTGCTACCACTGGCATGGCATGATGATTATTTCTTTATTCTCCTGAGAGCTTTCTTCACCTTTCTTCCACTGTTTTCACTTGAACTGTTGAAACTGGGTGAGAAAAAGAAGAAAACTATTATATATACACATGCTTAATCAGTGCAGGAGGGTGAGCCTGGGGTGTGTGACAAAAAATGAAAAGCAACATTTATTTAGACAATTTGGCAACAACCTCCAATGCAGACCTGGATGGCTAATTTAGCAATGACCACGAAAAATCTTTTTTTGTCAGAAAGTGTTTGCAAATAGGTGCATTTTGTAGCTGTATCTTCACAGAGCATGGAACCTTTTGAATTTCTGAAATCCATTAATAAATTAAAAAAGTTACGGATTTTTTAATCAATTAATTTTTGGTACACTTTTATATAATGAACCCCCCCCCCCCCAATATGGGACGTTCTTTGGTGAGTTTGGAGACAATATTCGTCATAACTCGCTCATTTCTCAGAGTATTTAAAGGAATCCGCGGGTCTCGATCCCCTAGAAAATCGGGTATTTGCTAAAAAAAAATATATATGGAAGTTCCCAGTATTTGGACATTCTTACAGAAAAATACAGTCGAACCTGCCCTGACGGCCACCTCTATAAGACGGTCACCTGGACAAACGGACACTTTCAATTTCCCCCCTTGCGTTTTTTCTATATAATTTAACTGTGTAAAACTGGCACCTGTCTAACGCAGCCACGGCCACAATATTTTAACACACAACCCCTATCACACAAAGCAATAACACCTGTCTTAGACGGCCACCTTATAGAGACTCCATTACGTTTTGTCATAAATTGTGCATTGGCCCCTGGCGTTGTGGGCAAGCCGTCATAATTCAATCTCCTGTTTGTTATGTATGTATGTAGTATAGGGTTTTACGGCGCTCGCAGCTGCTAAGGTCATATGAGCGCGCGAAACACAAGTTGTTTACTTTTCGCAAAAGTTCACTCCAGGATTTGTTAACGAATTGACTTTAAAATGCTAAAATGTTAAAATATTAAAATTCAGTGTAAATATATTTGTGATTTAAAACAATTATAGGTAACAATAAAAATTTTAAATAGTACGTTTTCATTTTTCAACTTGCCATAAAGGCCAATGGCCTTTATAAAATTCTAAATTCTGTTGGGAAAATATATCTCGCAATTTCTTGCATTTATAATATTTCCTTCGGATCTCTCCAAAGTCTAGACATTCGGTTAGGATGTGTCTAATGGTAAAATCTGTGTCGGATCCGACACAGAACGACTTCTCATCTCCCTGTAGGAGGTATTTGTGGGTCAGGGCCGTGTGTCCGATGCGCAATCGAGTAAAAATGACTTCGTCTCTTCTGGAGAGGTTCGAAGGATTTCGCTGTTCTAGTTTGGGTTTTATTTCATATAGTTTATTATTTTTCTGGTTTTCCCAGTGGCTCTCCCACAGACTGGAGGTGTACTTTTTGACTTTATTTCTAAAGTCAGTCTGTGGGAGAGTGTTTGTCGTTGATCCCAGCAGAAGGGATGAAGCTTTCTTCGCCAGGTCGTCTACCTGCTCGTTTCCTCGGATGCCCACATGGCTGGGTATCCATGCGAACATGATGTTTTTTCCTGTTTCGGACAGTGTATGAATTTTCTGTTGTAGCCTAACTATTTTTGGATGTAAGAGTGTGTAGTTTGTGAGTGAGGTGATGAAAGATTTGTTAGGAGAATTTTCTACAGAGTCCAGTGCCATGTCAATGGCAGTGGCCTCCGCAGTGAAAATGGAGTTTTCAGGATGGAGTCTCCTCTGGTGTGTATTGTTGGGAGATAGGGCTGCGGTGCCCACTTCATTGTCTTTTTTGGAGCCGTCCGTGAAGATGAGCTCCGCACCGGGGTATTTATCTATAAGTTTTTTGTATTCTGCTTTAAAAGTTTTGGTGTTTGTGCTTTCTTTGTTGTGTGTGGTCAGCTTTAAGTCTACTTTTGCCTTGGTGAGGTGCCACGGAGGGAGGTCGGGGAAAAGAATTTGTTGGATGTCTTGTTTGGAAAAGTGTAAGTTCTTGAGGTCCTCAAGGATTCTGAGGCCGAAGGGTTAGATGAGTTTTTCATTGTTTTGGAATTTGTTTATGGTTTCTGGGTTTGTTTTAAAAATGCTGTTGTGCGCTGGATTTTCCGGTGTTGAGCTCTGTTTAACTGCGTCTGAGTGAGAGTGGTGGAATGTTGGCCTCGGCCTGGAGGCTCTCCACCGGAGAAGTTTGATTGATTGATTGATTGGGTAGATGTTTTACGGCACTATCGACACAATTTTGGTCATTTAAGCGCCATCAGGTTTCACCGCTACAAAATCAGACGTGTTTTTAATAAAGAGTCTTTCGGAGCTCGCAACCGCAAACGATCACACTATTTCTATTATGCTAAAAAGACGAACAAACATTTAGAAAAAAAAAATTTTTGGGGGTAAATATGGAAAAGGCTCATTTACATTTGTATATACAATACAAATTTCAGTGTATGTATATATACACCGACAACGACAATTATATATTTTCACATTTTATTAAACAGTCCAATTTCTTTTATATAATTTAAAATACTTCTATGCTCTATGATGTCAAAAAGGGTCTTAACATCTTTACATTTAAAATATTTCCCACGGACATAATTAAAGTCGACACATTCCATTAGGATGTGCCGAACTGTGAAACTTGTGTTGCACGCCACGCAAAAAGGAGTTTCATCTCCTTCGAGCAAATGTTTGTGTGTGACGTGCGTGTGTCCTATCCTTAGTCGGGTAAAAATTACTTTTTCTCTTCGTGGTAGAGATAGTGGTTTTCTGGGAGTAAGTTTCGGTTGAATGTAATGGAGTTTGTTGTGTATTTGTTGATTCCAACTTTGGGACCAGGAGGATGTGATGTGTTCTTTTACTTTTGGTTTCATGTCAGAGAAAGGGATTTTACTATTTTTGTTTTCAGGTAGTTTTAGATTCTTTGGCAAATTGGTCAACGGCTTCGTTGCCATCAATGCCTACATGGCTTGGAAGCCAAGCTATTGTAATAGTTTTTCCAGACCGATGTAGAAAATGCAGTTTAATTATAAGTTTTATAATTCTGTTGCCGGAGGTGTCAGAGAGCTCTAAAGATTTCAGACAAGAGAGAGAGTCTGAAAGGATTAGGAAAGTAGAATTGGTTGATTGATCTATAATATTTAGGGCCATTTCAAGAGCTGTAGCCTCAGCAGTGTAGACTGAAGCTTCTGGGTGGAGTTTCCTTAAGTTTAAGCTGTGTGGCGATGCAAAGGCAGCAGCTCCTACTGAGGAGTCATATTTGGATCCCTCTGTAAAGAGTTTCTATGCTTCAGGGTATCTATTTATTAGCTGTTTGTATGAGTTTAGGTATGTCGTTTTGTCTGTGGACTTTTGTTGTGTTTTTCAAGACCAGTATCTAAGTTTGGGTTGGTTAAATGCCATGGAGGTATGCTGGATATGGCAAAGGGCTCCATTATGTCTCCAAAAAAATCAATGTCTTTGAGATCGTTCTGGATTCTTATTCCGAAAGGGCTTACTTATTTCCTAAGGAGGATAGAGTTTTTATATCTTCGGAAAGGCTAAAGACACATTTGTGGGCTGGGTTTTGGGGTACTGAGCTAAGTTTCAAAGCATATTGCAAAGAGAGTTTTTTCCTTCTAAGTTCTAGTCTTCTAGTCTTAAGGGAGCGGTAGAGTTGAAGAAGTATTTCAGTATCTCCTCCTGCACTCAATCGGTTGCGAGGATTTGGGGTCTATTCTTTGCTGGACCGGTCCTTCGGTCTACAGAACGGAAAGAAAGATAGATGGATAGAAGACATAGCAAGAGCGGACAAAAGATGCCATCCTTACGTCAGAGAGCTAATGACGTACGAGCGGCATCCCACCGGGGTGTGTGTGTGTGTGTGTGTGTGTGTGTGTGTGTGTGTGGTGTTACACCCCCTGTTGATGGGACAGCCAACCGGTCAGCTCGGGGAAGGACGAAAGAAGAAGGAAGAAAGACGATAGAAGACAGACAATACACCAAAGCAAGTGTCGCCCATGTGCACCTGAGCGTAGATGTCCATGGGCGACAAATCGCCAGTGAAGGGGTTGCACCTCCTGAAATGCACTTTATACATTGAAACTTCGAATCGAGAGGTTGACCTAGATATAGGCCTGTGTGCTTCTCTGGATTCTAGGCTAGATCTCGATTGCGATTCAGAGGGATGTCCCTAGAAAGGCGAAGATTCTAGATATATATAATAATTGAGACTTAACAAGTAATAAAAGGCACTTTACACAAATTTTCCTCACTTCACCCAGGTGGAAATGGGTACCTGGCCATAGACAGCGAAAGATCTTGTCAGTATGTTAGTGTTTTAGCGCCTATATATGGCTGCTAGCACTGTATGCTTCCCATGAAGTTGAGTTTGTTTCAGAATGCTCTCAGGTCTGCTGGGGTAATAGTACAGATTGTGAAGCGCTTAGAGCTTGCTGTTGAGCGGGGATTTGCGCTATACAAATGCTATCTATTATTATTATTTACATCTGATCTAGATCTAGATTTAAAGTGTTCATCCCAGAATCTATCTGAACTTGATCAATAGTAAATATCTGGTGTGCAATGTCCGTAGACCTAGATCTAGACTAAGATCTTGAAGCAAGGGCTAGGTCTAGGCGAAGATGATTATAAAATTTATTCTCATCATCATAGAGACGAGGATAGCCATCTGATACCCCTCTGTGTTTTCGGTTTTGGTTCATTGGATGAGTGCAATAGCGTCGTTTTCTTTTTTCACCCGACAGAACATAAAGAGCGAGGCCGATTGCAATGTTATCTGAAGATGATTCCATTTCCGAACTCAAAAGTCAATTGCGGCGCTGCACCTAAACATGTAGATAACACCCAAGACTCTTGGATTACACAGTACCTAAATATAGCAAGGCAGACCTTTAAGTTGCACACCTACACACGTCAACACACAGTGCAGCTGTGCTGACATGCAGACGGCGTGCGCTAGGCAAGCTACAGGTCAGACCTACAGAGCCACTCTGGGACCGGCCTAATGTTTCATACACCCTGCGATCTGACCACTCAGAGTTATAGAGTTATTTGCTTAGTCTGCCTGTTTTCAACACTTTCCAATATAATGGTATAATTTCCCCTGACACCACAGGCTATTTGTTAGTGACATTTACAGGTTAAAAACTAAATGGCCCTTGTCGATTTGCTTCTCTTTGAGCAAACAATAAGAAACTGAAAATCAACTGGTTCTTACCCTATACTAAAGCTGCCCACACCAGCAGGGGCTCCACCAAAGGCTTGTCCATCAGTTACTGCAGGCAGCACGGCAGGTGCTGGGCCACCACTAAACTGGAACAACCCTTGAGTGTTGGTCTGGGCTGAGCCTAAAACTTCAGTCTGTACGAGAAAGCAGAGAACAAAATACAACCCTTGCATATTTAATTTGTAGTGACACCCTTCAATGAATGTCCAGAATCATGAAAAAAAAAAAAAAAAAAGCTCTGAAAATAAGCACCCTGTTGAGTTATATAGTCACTGCAAGTCAGCGCGGCAATCATATAGCCTACCATCAAGGAACAAATGACCACAATAGTGCAACAGAGCAAATAATTTCTTTTCTATTTTTTTTTTGTCCTTTCCCATTTCTGTCAAATGATGCTTTAGTGTTTAGTAGACAAAACAATGTGGAAATACTATGTCGCAATAAGTATAATAAGTAGTTCTAAAGAGGCATCAAACAAAATACCTGGAAACGGTTCATCTTCCATTTACTTTTACTGTCAAAATACAGTCAAAGAAAAACAAAAATAAAAATATCTCTGAAGTGATCATTATTTTCCAATTAACCATCAGAACAGAAGTTTAGCATAAAGTAGGTTCCTGGAAAACCATATATACAAACACAAAAATATTAGATTTGCCCGTAACGTACCGGTTTTCCACCAAATTGAAACGTTGAACTTCCGGAGGAAGTCTGGTTTGACCCAAAGTTGAAGTTTGGTGCCTCCATTCTAAATGAAAATCCACCTGAGGAATGCAAAAGAATCAAAACAGTTACTACCAATACTGGATGAAAATCAACCTTATGAATGCAAAAAGAATCAAAACATTTAAAATAAAAAATGAAAACAAATTTCTAAAACTTTCGCAACCTGGGAGAATTTAAATAGTGAGTATAGCCATACAGTAGCAATTCTAGCCATATCAAACTAAAAAAATGCTGAAAGTGCATGCGACTTAGTCTCGAAAGTTGGTTGTTTAATTAAATATAGCATATATTACTATCATTATCAAAGCAGAGAATATGCTCTAATGCACAAATTTGTGTGTACCGTTAAGTACTTTGAATGAAGATACAACCCTACAAAAAGGGCTGCCTACCTCAAAGTTCCCATTTAAGGTATATTCAGGAAAAATTTCCAGGTATTTTGACCTAAAATCAAGTAACACAAAAACAAAGAATAGGTATCACAAACCCCCGCCTCTGCGCAGTTGAAAGTGTGTAGGAAGCTCGAAATTTGGTCATTTTTAACTCATTTCAGACGGGTCACACAACAGTTGCGTGACCCCCGCCGCGACGGGTCTCACAAGCCCTGCGTGACCAACTTTGGAATTATTTTTTTCGCTCTACAAATCACGCACGGATCGCGAGACCTGCCTCGTGCCCTTGTTTGGCCAAGCCTGAGCTACTTAGACTTCGTTTCGTATCTCTGGGGCCGGTAGTTTTTTAAAGTTATTGAAGGTGAAGGACAGTGACCCCAACTGGGGTTGAACAGACCGGAACTCGCGCTTTGTTTTTTTCTATACAGCTCATTTGAGCTCATAGTAATCCAACAGTCGTGTCGTAGTAACGGTCGAAGAAGTCGCATGAACAAGAATCACATAATTTCGCCGTTTTCTATACTTCTGTGCGTTTTACTAGTTCTAGTGTCTCAGAATATGATGAGTTTAATAGTTAGGATCCTGGATATGTACCCGAACACGGCCCGAGTCGTAGTTCTAGGGCTAGATCTAGCACTAGTACCGGTGTTGTTTTTCGCGCAACGAAATCACAACGTCGTGCCGTACATCTGTCTCATGTAATTCAGTGTATGGGTCTGAATCAATGCACAGACCAGCTTTTATATTTTCACCAAACACTCGCACATGTACACAAATCAAACCAGAACACTTTGAACTTTTATTTTTGTTGTTGCAGTGAATTTCATTCTACTTGTCACGTCTCTGGAAATTTTTTCGGAAAATCAAATTCATGCCAATTTTTAATGATTGATTGATTGGGTAGATGTTTTACGGCACTATCGACACAATTTTGGTCATTTAAGCGCCATCAGGTTTCACCGCTACAAAATCAGACGTGTTTTTAATAAAGAGTCTTTCGGAGCTCGCAACCGCAAACGATCACAATATTTCTATTATGCTAAAAAGACGAACAAACATTTACAAATTTTTTTTGTGTAAATATTGAAAAGGCTTATTTACATTTGTACATACAATACAAATCTCAGTGTATGTATATATACACCGACAACTATATATTTTCACATTTTATTAAACAGTCCAATTTCTTTTATAAAACTTAAAATTCTTCTAGGTTCTATGATGTTAAAAAGGGTCTTAATATCTTTACATTTAAAATATTTATCACGGACATAATTAAAGTCGACACATTCCATTAGGATGTGCCGAACTGTGAAATCTGTGTTGCACGCCACGCAAAAAGGAGCTTCCTCTCCTTCGAGCAAATGTTTGTGCGTGACGTGCGTGTGTCCTATTTTTAGTCGGGTAAAAATTACTTTTTCTCTTCGTGGTAGAGAAAATGGTTTCCTGGGCGTAAGTTTCGGTTGAATGTAATGGAGTTTGTTGTGTATTTGTTGATTCCAACTTTGGGACCAGGAGGATGTGATGTGTTCTTTTACTTTCGGTTTCATGTCAGAGAAAGGGATTTTACTATTTTTGTTTTCAGGTAGTTTTAGAGATTCTTTGGCAAATTGGTCAACGGCTTCGTTGCCATCAATGCCTACATGGCTTGGAAGCCAAGCTATTGTAATAGTTTTTCCAGACTGATGTAGAAAATGCAGTTTAATGATAAGTTTCAAAATTCTGTTGTCGGAGGTGTCAGAGCGCTCTAAAGATTTCAGACAAGAGAGAGAGTCTGAAAGGATTAGGAAGGTAGACTTGGTTGATTGATCTATAATATTTAGGGCCATTTCAAGAGCTGTAGCCTCAGCAGTGTAGACTGAAGCTTCTGGATGGAGTTTCCTTAAGCTTAAGCTGTGTGGCGATGCAAGGGCAGCAGCTCCTACTGCGGAGTCATTTTTGGATCCGTCTGTAAAGAGTTTCTCTGCTTCAGGGTATCTATTTATCAGCTGTTTGTATGAGTTTAAGTATGTAGTTTTGTCTGTGGACTTTTTGTTGTGTTTTTCAAGACTAGTATCTATGTTTGGTTTGGTTAAATGCCATGGAGGTATGCTGGACATGGCAAAGGGCTCGATTATGTCTTCAGAAAAATCAATGTCTTTGAGATCGTTCTGGATTCTTATTCCGAAAGGGCTTACTTTATTTCCTAAGGAGGATAGAGTTTTTAGGTCTTCGGGAAGGCCAAAGACACATTTGTGGGCTGGGTTTTGGGGTACTGAGCTAAGTTTCAAAGCGTACTGCAAAGAGAGTTTTTTCCTTCTAAGTTCCAAAGATGGTTCATGTGCTTCTGCCTGTAAACTTTCTACAGGTGAAGTACGGAAAGCGCCTAGGGCAAGGCGAAGGCCTTGGTTCTGAACAGGGTCTAAAATTTTAAGGTAAGACTTTCTGGCTGATCCGTAAACAGGACTGGCATAGTCCAGCCTGGAACGGACATTTATTTATTGGGTAGATGTTTTACGGCACTATCGACACAATTTTGGTCATTTAAGCGCCATCAGGTTTCACCGCTACAAAATCAGACGTGTTTTTAATAAGAGTCTTTCGGAGCTCGCAACCGCAAACGATCACACTATTTCTATTATGCTAAAAAGACGAACAAACATTAATAAAAAAAATTTTGTAAATATGGAAAAGGCTTATTTACATTTGTATATACAATACAAATCTCAGTGTATGTATATATACACCGACAACGACAACTATATATTTTCACATTTTATTAAACAGTTCAATTTCTTTTATAAAACTTTAAATTCTTCTAGGTTCTATGATGTTAAAAAGGGTCTTAATATCTTTACATTTAAAATATTTATCACGGACATAATTAAAGTCGACACATTCCATTAGGATGTGCCGAACTGTGAAATCTGTGTTGCACGCCACGCAAAAAGGAGCTTCCTCTCCTTCGAGCAAATGTTTGTGCGTGACGTGCGTGTGTCCTATTTTTAGTCGGGTAAAAATTACTTTTTCTCTTCGTGGTAGAGAAAATGGTTTCCTGGGCGTAAGTTTCGGTTGAATGTAATGGAGTTTGTTGTGTATTTGTTGATTCCAACTTTGGGACCAGGAGGATGTGATGTGTTCTTTTACTTTCGGTTTCATGTCAGAGAAAGGGATTTTACTATTTTTGTTTTCAGGTAGTTTTAGAGATTCTTTGGCAAATTGGTCAACGGCTTCGTTGCCATCAATGCCTACATGGCTTGGAAGCCAAGCTATTGTAATAGTTTTTCCAGACTGATGTAGAAAATGCAGTTTAATGATAAGTTTCAAAATTCTGTTGTCGGAGGTGTCAGAGCGCTCTAAAGATTTCAGACAAGAGAGAGAGTCTGAAAGGATTAGGAAGGTAGACTTGGTTGATTGATCTATAATATTTAGGGCCATTTCAAGAGCTGTAGCCTCAGCAGTGTAGACTGAAGCTTCTGGATGGAGTTTCCTTAAGCTTAAGCTGTGTGGCGATGCAAGGGCAGCAGCTCCTACTGCGGAGTCATTTTTGGATCCGTCTGTAAAGAGTTTCTCTGCTTCAGGGTATCTATTTATCAGCTGTTTGTATGAGTTTAAGTATGTAGTTTTGTCTGTGGACTTTTTGTTGTGTTTTTCAAGACTAGTATCTATGTTTGGTTTGGTTAAATGCCATGGAGGTATGCTGGACATGGCAAAGGGCTCGATTATGTCTTCAGAAAAATCAATGTCTTTGAGATCGTTCTGGATTCTTACTCCGAAAGGGCTTACTTTATTTCCTAAGGAGGATAGAGTTTTTAGGTCTTCGGGAAGGCCAAAGACAAATTTGTGGGCTGGGTTTTGGGGTACTGAGCTAAGTTTCAAGCGTACTGCAAAGAGAGTTTTTTCCTTCTAAGTTCCAAAGATGGTTCATGCGCTTCTGCCTGTAAACTTTCTACAGGTGAAGTACGGAAAGCGCCTAGGGCAAGGCGAAGGCCTTGGTTCTGAACAGGGTCTAAAATTTTAAGGTAAGACTTTCTGGCTGATCCGTAAACAGGAGCCAATTAAAAAAAAAAATCATACAAATTGAAGTATTAGACTTAGACAACTTTAGTTTTTTGTATTGAATTAAGCTTGAATGTTACTTTACTGTGTCAAAAAATGATAACAATAGGGTAATTCTGAGAGTTGTGGTGATTTATTGAAATACCCCCAAAAACGCCAGTCTTCAACGATTGTGACTGGTGAAAGGGCCCAGTCGCAAGTGAGTTAATCAACCATAACTCTTGTAATTTGACACCAATCTTCACCCGTTTCGAACTAAGTCAGTTCAACTATTGTTTTTAGCTAAAATCAAACTATTGAGGACGGCACGGAACGAGATATTGTATAGTAAGCTATCTAAAAAGGTCACCGAAATGCACGGGAATGCGTTTTTCGCGTCATTTTTCATGCCGGCCGCGGCGACAAAAATTTAGGGTGCTTCACAAAAAGCCTTCGCGCTACGCGCCTATAACTGCTATCGTCATGAAACAAAAAAGTGCAAGAACGAGCTTTGTTGAATAAGCTTTCACCCGGTACCAAGCGCTTGTTGCTGAAGTTAATTGTTGACCCAGAAATATCGGGAGTTTTGGAACCTATTTTTAGAATGGAAATCTCCAAGTCTGACCAAT